AAAAAAAAAAAAAATTTATATTTTAATTTATAAAAAAAAAAGAATGTAAAAATGAGGGGGGGGAGGGGGGGGAATGAACAAGGAAAGGATCTCTTGCACTGGCCAAAAGAGCAGGAATAAAGGGCTAAAACTTACTTGGCATTACAACCAGCCTAGTCCCACTCCCAAAGATGACGTTAGTGTAGCCACCAGTAGAGTAGACATAGTGCTTTCTGCCTTGACAAAAACATGTCCTCCTAGTTGTCTCAGTAACTATAACTTCCTTTCAAAAGGCTAAATCTCTAGACTTTAAGATTAAAATGTTGAGGGCTGCGGCTGCTGGAAATCTGAAGCATAATCTGGACTTCTGAACCTATAAAATACTTTTCTTAGGGCTCTAGTTTCTTCCTCAGAGGTGTGGATGCACTCTGCCCTTTCCATCCCATAATTTAGAGAGTTTCAAGAATCTTACTTATTGTGCACCCAATATTGTGCAAAGGGTGACTTTCTGAAAGGCAATCCAGGATGGAAAGGTTGCATATTCAAAAATGGATCCAAAGAGCCCCCAGATACTTTTAGGAACAGAGTTTGCTTTGTGGACTAAGCAGTCATTGGCTTTATCTGCTCCATGTAGAAAAGTCAAAGACCAAATATTGGGATGGTGTAAATGTGAGTGGGGCAGGACATGAGAAGGATAAAGGGAATCAAAAGCTGAAGCTTACTTGGGGTCACATCCAGTTTAGTTCCACTTCCAAAGGTAAGCTTATTCAAGCCACCACTAGATCCACAGTGCTTCCCTTCTTGACAAAAACTGCCCAGAGCAGAAGAACATTGAAAGAGAAGGTAGTGGAGATGCCCTCAGAAATGCTTGTCTTGGCAGAGAAAGACCTTTTCTCCAATTCACACCAACCTAAGCTTCTTGGTGGACTCCAGATGTGAGGGCTTCAACTCCCAAATTTCTCAGCAATTCACAGCCATTAAGGTGAGTTTAGATTGATTGTTGCACATCAAGAGCAGTTATCTTCCTCTTAGCTATATCCTCAGTATTTCAGAACTATCAAGAAATGAAGGATTGTGAACTTCTTGCACATAGGGGATAACCATTGTGAAGCAGTACAGGAAGGGGGGGAGGGAGACTGTATCGATGTTTTGATTTCTGTTTTTCTGCTTTCTTCCTCCCAAAGAAGGACTATTATCTCTTATAATTTATACTGATTTTTAAAAACTTCTGGGGCGGGTAGGGGAGGAAACATCAGTATGTAAATTTCTAAAACAGTGTAGAATGTGTAAAGCAAAAGTACATTCACTCCAAAAAGGAATGGAGAAAAAAAAAATCCTCCAGTTCAGAGCAGTGAAGTTGAGCCACTACTCCTGTGTAACAGTCATGAGAAGCCAATTGACTAAGATTGTCTAACATACCTGGCATTATGCTTAACCTGGTGCCTTGCCCAAATATCATTTTCCCATAGCCATCTTGGTTGCACAATAAGAAAAGGCTTTACCAAAAATGGAAGGAGAAATACAACATTTTGCTTCTCTCCATTTTGTGTGTCCTTAAATGCACATTAATTAATCACTTAATGAAGCTCCATGGAGTAATGAAGAGTCTGTGATCTAGTATTCAAGACTCCAGACAGCCACAAGATTGCTACACACTTGGTCACCATCTAATTATCATCTACATTTTTGCAGCCCCAGTTTGCAGCCCCATAGCCTAGAGATGTGGTCTTTCCTTTCTCAAGGGAAAGACACATTAGGTTGTCCCGCTTCCCACCTAAAATGAAATCTAAACAAATTTAAGGGTTTATATTCACAACCCATGTAACTATGAAGTTCTCAGCCTTCAGGTCCTCCTGTTGTCTCCCTCACAGTTAAAGTTTAGAGACACAGGGACATTCTTCTGTTGCCCTCAAAACTCTATAAGGAATGCTTAGAAGCAGTCATAAACAGCCTGGAAGTGTACACAAACAGATTCTGTCACAAGTGTACTACCAATTTATGTTAGAATTACAGAAAACTTATCTTTTGAAGACCTCTTCAGAAACTTACGTGGATGAACCTTCAGCTCTGTGCCAGTTCCAAATACAACTCTGAAACTGCCATCATTTACCACAGTGAAATGGGTCTTTACCTAAAGTCATCATTTAAGCCAACTTTGACAAGAAGTCCATGATGGGAGTTCAAACCATATTTATTGCAGGGATATGGAAGGCTTAATTTTAACAGTCCTAGGAAGTCTAGCCCTAACATCATAGGCATTAAATATTGAAAATAAAGGTATGAAATGAAATATTGCAAGCCAATTCAAGAGTTATTTAGGGACAAAAACTATCAGCAGCCTTTCCATTTCTACCAGGGTGAGAACATGCAAGATCTTATGAATTTGGAACCTTCAAAGGTTCCTCTAAACAAGATAATGTTCAATAGAACTTGCCAATCATTTCAAACCATCTCTTGAGACTGAACAATAGATTTCTGTCCTATGTTTAGCGTTGATTTACCTACCAAGGGCAGAATGGATGCACCACCATCCATTGTTCTGAAAAAAGGAAAAACATGAGAAAGACATGTACAGGATTTTCTGCACAATTCAGCTTTACACAACTGTTATCTATCTGCAACTGTGCTATCTGTTCCTTATGTTTACATGTCCATGATTATATGAATACATACACATATCAACCAACTTAATGCTTTGATGAATTTGATTCTGCTCCAGGAACCACAATTTCCTCATGGCTGTACTCCAGCTGTGTTAGACTTCAAGTCCCATTCCTGGCGATATGGCTAAGGATAATGGGAATTGCAATGCAACATATCTCGAAGACATTGGCTGGGAGAAAGCTGCCATAATTAACATCTTAGTTTTTAAGATTCCAGAAAACTACTATTTTGGAAGCCGGAAAATTTATCTCTGTTACGCACCCAGAATGCAACTGGTTTCTATACTTACATGGCCTTACAATCAACCTTGTACCAGGTCCAATGATAAAACTATAGCCTTGCTCCCAGCAATGTAGTCCTTTACAAAAAACCTACAAATTTAGAGATTTCACTGAATGTTAGGCCATACCTTTTAAAGAGGTTGGATTTAAGTAAGCCACTCTCAATAGATATTTCTGCTCAGGTCTCTTGCTTGGACTATCTTAATCCATCTTTCCCCAATATGGACTCTCCAAGATGCTGGATGACAACTCCCATCCTTCATAACTGTAAGCACCACCATGCTTACAATCACAATCGCCTTTTCCACTGTTGTCTCCACCATATGCTTTAGGAAGACAATAGCCAGAATTCTCATCTATCCTGACCCAAGAAAGGTTGATCATGTTGGATGAAAATTCATAGAATTCTAATCCTAACATATCTGGAAGCTCCTGTTTGCAGACAGCTGAAGTAGGACCCTGTTTGCATCTCAAGAACAAACATAAGACCTATGCAAAAAGCAAAGGTTCTTGACTGAATTATGGCTTTTTATTCTCTCCCCCTCTGGATGTTGCAGAAATGTCAAATAAATGATATTTGGTTCTTGCCAGCTACTTTAAAAGTTGATCTCACAAGTTGTGCCATATCACAGGTTTGCTAAACAGATATCTTCACATACCAAGAATCACTGGCTTGTCCCTCTTTGGATGTGACTTTCCAGCTTGACTCAGAATCCTGGCTCCTAACAATTCACTTTTCACAGATTGGTGCCCCTCAATGACTTCTTCCTGAGGAGATCAGTGTGACTCCACATGGGCTATAACAGTTTGAGGAAGGTTGAATTAGGAACTCATTTGGGTCCTCATTTTTTCCTGCTTAGGACAACCCTTTAAGAAGAGGGAAATGAGTCTCACTCTACCAATGTACCCACAAGAGATGATACCCATGAATCCTTGGTTAGAGGATTCATAGCTCATATCTTGGGGTGTCCTCTACTATGTCTCCAACCTCATCTAGGCAAATGGTGGATGTCGCACTCTTCCTAACATACTTTTCTAGTGCACAAAACCCATCCTGTTTCCTTGAATTGAAGTTCTCCTTTAGCTGGGGCAGATTTATATTTATTAGTTGCATGTTTTTATTTCATCTCAGAAAGTAAGGTAGTGTCTAAAAGTATTTAGCAGGAGATGGCATTTAGAAATTCCTTTTTTTTTAGAAATACAAAGGGATAGCATGCCCAACTGATGGGAATGCTAGAATTTAACCAACAAAGTTCTCACATACCAGGAATCACTGTTAATTTTGTCCCAGTTCCAAAGTAGACGCGCCAGTCTGAGGTAGAGCTACACCATGAAACATGCAGTAACAAAAACCACCCCATTCATTTAACATTTTTTCTGGCATCTACATCAATCTATCCAAAGAAAATCCATTGAACTTCTTGCTAATGGTTCAGCCCTAAAGAATGTCTTCGCAAATGGGATAAGGAGCCACAAAGATCCTTATCTCCTTCTACTCATGTGCTATCACAACTAGACTTGTAGAAGTCCCAAAAATGTATAAGAGGGTCTAGCCATTGCTCCCAACACCACAGACCTTTACAAACATTCCCTGATTCAAATTATTCCTGGAAAAGTAGGGATAAACTTATTGATCCTCCATTCATTGTGATCATTAAAGGTATAATGGGTCAGTCAGCCAGATTTAAATCAGGAAAATGGCAATGTCTAAATGCACATTTAAGCTTAATAAATTGTTACATACTGGTATCTGTATGTAACAGATAATTCATTCCTTAACTGTCCTGATTACCTTTCTGTCAGTTTATTTATCGTATATATGTCTTTTTATGTCATATGATCATGATTATATGAATACACTGACATATGCACACATTAACGTAATGTGACATGTGTGGAAGGCAGCAGCTAAGGGAAAGCTGTCATAATTAATATCTTAGTTTTTAGGATGACAAAACAATATGGAATA